TCTATGTATCTATCTATCTATCTATCTATCTATCTATCTATCTATCTGTCTATCTATCTATCTATCATCTATCTATCAATCATCTCTATCATCTATCATCTTCTATCTATTGATCTATCTCTGTCATCTATAGTTATCTATCTTCTATCATCCATTTATCGTTTCTCTGCAGGTACATTTATCTATCATTTATTTATGTATCTACCTACTTACCTACCTTCCACCTGTCTATGTTCTTTTTTTATGACAGGGTCTTGCTCGATAGTCCACTGTGTAGTTGCCTAGAACTTACTACATAGCCCAGGCTGGTCTTGAATTCACAGCAGTCCTGCAGCCTTGGCGTCTTTAGTGCTGGGATTAGGGACATGAGCTGCCATGTCCAGCTGACATGGATTCTCTTATACTCTTAATTCCCACCATTTCTGTTGAGGCCGTGTCTTTGGTTAGGTGCTTTGAAGACGTGAAACCAAAGGTGAACAATGTAAAGGCCTCTCCGAGGCTCCCAGAAAACTACCCCCAAGTTCATAGCTGTCTTTTTATCAAGAAAGAAGAATGTCTTTTTGATTTTTCTTAAAGTCTAGGGTGTTGGATAGTACGTAATTTCTGCACTTTTGATAGGGTTCGAGAAACATCTGCTGTATCCTAATTTGGATGTGGTAATGGATGCTGGTCCGTGTTGGAGAGGGGCTAAGAGGCAGCAGAAGTACATGGGGGGTGTGGATAACCAGTTCTAGGTTCTGGAGGCATTCAGGATACTGGTCTAGTGTAGCCAGATTGCCTGACTTTTCAGGAGTAGCTTGCAGGTCTTTGTTGGTTTTTGTCTGTGGTGTTGGGGATAGAACCCAGGGCATTGCACATGCAAGGCAACCACTCTGCTATTGAGCGTTTACCCCAGTCCAGAGGTCAGGCATTTTATGTGAAACTGCCAAGTCTTACCAGTTGGCAGCTAAGGCCTGGTTTCTACAAACACTATGTGGGCCAAGTAAAATATATGAGAGGGTCAGAGCTGCTCCCTGGCTCCCAAGTCTGCAGCCTGTGTACCAGGCTTCTCCTTGTGAGTGAGGCAACAGTAGCCCCTGCTTGGTTTGGACTCTGCCTTCTTGACAAGGGTGAGAATGGCATGATGTAGCATTTCTCTTGCTGGGCCTTCTGGCCAGAGATCACTGTTCATTTGTCTTAAGAGTATACTTGTGATTCTTGAATATAGATTTGTACTCTGTGATAGCCCTTTCTGTATGTCTGCTGTCTGGCTTGGATGTGTTCAGAGGGAGTCTTAGGCTGTTTTCTAGAGTCATTAGAGCAACCACAGACAGGGAGGGTTGAAGAAGGGCTGGTTATCGTGGTGCAGAGTTCTGCCCAGGGAGGGTCTGAGCCATGATAACACATGGGAAACCACTGGAGCTGGATGTCTTGCTCTCCAGCAAGGCTGGACTTGTTTGGGGCAATGACTTGGGCACATTTATAAATGTGTCCAGGGTTTGCAAGCAGTAGTTGTGGTTGCACTGAATATGAATGCTTACTGACTTCATGATGCTCTGTAGTTACCCATGTACATGTTTAGTCTGGTCCCTGGCAGCTCTATGCTATACTGTGTTGAGAAATCTTAAGCGTTTTTACACATTAAAAATAATCCCCCCCATTTTTTTGCATAACAAGTGACTATTTAAGCATTGTTTATTCAGTAGTTTTGTTGGGCAGGCTGGGGCTTATAGGCATAAATGAATTCAAAAGAGGTCCCTCAGCACGTCAGTGAGGGAGTGGAGGCTAGTGAAGATGTCGGCTCAATCATGGACTCTGTATACTATCACTAGAAGGATCCATTTGTCTGGTCCTCAGCACTGGAAAGCTCACTTCTCAGACCCTCTCAGTCCTGGGTGAACCAGGAGAGTTGAGCATCCAAGTATTTCTGGCCTATTCAACTCACTCTTGTTCTGTGGAAATGTTTGAGTGTCTCTTATGAAGAGCCCATTGACCATCTGAAGTAATTATTCTGAAATGAAATATGAGATAAGATTAAGTGGAAAGGGAACTTAATGTCCAGAATTAATAACTAGAGATGACTGAAGTTCCCTCCATCTGTATACAAACCACTTTATAAGAACTGGCAGGTGAAACCAAGATGTTCCGATGTGAAAAGTTAATGAAAAATAAACTGTGACTCAGAGGCAGAGCTGGTGGCACTGGAGCAGTAACAATCCAAATTTTCCTTAAAGAAGACCCAAAGCATGTTCCTAAAGCCCCCTTCTGAAGTCTGAAGGGAATGAGTCTAAAGATAAGAACCCATGTGATTTAGGGACAGACTTGGATGCTGGGATCCCAGGTGGCTTGATCTTAAATAAAACCCAATCCAAACCAAAGCAAAGCAAAACAAAATAAATAAGCTATAACTGGTAATCGTCACCCGAGGACAGGTTCTTGTAAGGCCAGTCTTTTTCTGTAAAAAGCTGATAGAAAATGCAGCAAAGGATCTGGTTTATCTTGACTCTTCCTAGTTCTTATTTCTTCTTTTCAATAATGCATTTTAGAAAGTGCTCAGCTGCCACTGGGTGAGTGGCACATGCCTGTAGTATGAGCATTCAAGAGGCTGAGGTAGGAGGATTGTGAGTTCAAGGCTAACCTGGGATACAGAATGAGACCTTGTCTCAAATCATCTCGCCCTTGAGCTCATGCCAAAAATAATAAACCAAACAAAGCAGAAATTCATCAACTAACCACAACCAATAACAACAACAAAAAGAACACCAAAACAAAACCCACAAAATAGGTGCAACATTAATTGGCCAAGAGCCTATTGAGGGATAGTATCCATCAGAGGATCAGAATCAACCAGGAGATGTCATGCATAAGACTCCTTCTGAGAGTAGGGTGACGTTATGATTGGTTCCTCCCTAGACTGGGTAGAACTCTGTAGCCTATAGTTGGTGTCTGGCTGAGTCCAGGCTCTGAAATCAGAATGCTAGGGTTAGAATCTGACCTTAGGCCAAATAATTTACATTCCCTTAGTCTTTGTGTTATTTTTTTGCTACTATAACAAAATAATTGAGACAATCAGTTTATAAAGAGAAAAAATTTATTTTGGCTCACAATTTTAGAGATTCTAATTCATGATTGTTGACCCCATTGCTTTCAGTCCTCTGAATGAGGTCCTTAGTGGCAAAAATGGGGACTATATGGTAGAGAAAAACTGCTCACATCATGGGACAGAGGGCAAAGAACAAAGAGGAGCTGGGTCCCCTCGAGCATCAAGGTTATATCCCAGTGATCATTGGACCTCACCTCTCAGGTTCCAACAGCCATCCCCTACCAGAGGACCAAGCTTTTAGCACATGAGCCTTTGGAGAACAGTCAAGATCAAAATTATAGCAGTCTTCTGATTTATCAGTGAGGTAGTGCCTGAGAAACTTAGCAGGGGGCTGTGGGCATACCGGTGGTTAGTGCTTGCCTAGGTGTGTAAGGCCTTGGCTTTGATTCTCAGCACTGTGAAAACAAACAGCCTCCCATCCCCAAACCTTGATATACAAAGTATGGTATGTGGATCATCTTTGTATTTTCTGGGAACTGGTTAGAAATGTAGGCATCAGGTTCTACCCCAGAGTCTTTGTCTTTTAGTTTAAAATTTATTAAGATTAATTAACGAGGGACTAGAGAGATGGCCTAGCAGTTAAGAGCACTGGCTGCTCTTGCAGAGGACCTGAGTTTGGTTCCTAGTGCCCACATGGCAGCTAACATCTGTCTGTAACTCCAGTTCCAGGGGATCTGATGCCATCTTCTGACCTCTGTGCGAATTGCACGCACATGGTACACATATACATTCAGGCAAAACACTCATACACATAAAATAAAAATAAACAAATTAAAAAATTAATTAATGGGGGTTTTCTCTCTTTTTATGAAACAGTCTCACACTATAGCCTAGCCTGGCCTGGTATCAAACTTACTGTGTAGCCTAGGCTAGCCTTGAACTCATGGCAATCCTCTTGCCTCTGCCTCCCTTGTTGCTGGGATTACAGGTGTGAGCCACCAGATCGGACTCAGACTTTTTGAATCAGAGCTTGAATTTCGTGAGTGCCTTGCCTGGCGATTTGTAAGCCCACTAATGAAGCAGGGCTGTAAAAGGCTTGGAACAGTGCCAGAGGAGGGGACACCTTTCCTTCTAAACATTTTAGTCCTTCCTCTTTCTCCTCCCCCATTAGTAGTAGTATTACATAATTTTGAACTACGTTGAAAAGAATCTTAAAGTTTTCTTTTCTTTAAAGGACCATCTTTATAGGTAAGGAGATAATCTAATTGGTACCTTAGGGCAGTTTAGTAACTCCTCCCACGTTGGATTTTTTGTTCCTTAGGGAACAGTGTCCTAGCGAGGTCAGAGAGGATTAATTAGTGCAGAAACCTGTGTCTGGAAGAAAACAAACTGTACAAGTAGCAGGCAGAGAGTGTAGGGTATCCGCCCCCAGTTAACCTGGCGATGGCAGTGGACAGTGAGTCAGCAACATCACACTGTCTTGAGCAACAGACAGCTTCAAATAGAATTTGCACTTGGGGTGCAGTACAAAAACTGTGAAGCCATCAGCTCACTTAGTGTTAACCCAACACTCAGATGTCTTTCATGCGCTGTTCGACATGGAAGCAAGTGTATAATTGTGCCCCAGCCCTGAGCCTGGCCTGTGCCCTGTGGAGCTGATGGCCTGTGTCAATCAAATAGAAGTAAGAAATTACAAGGATAGAATCAGAACAGCTTGTTGGAATTTTTCAGCCAGGAGGAGGCAAGGCAGGTTGATGAGCAATCTGTGATGGCTTCAGGCATAGGACGACCCTTGTCAACTCTTTTAACCTCAATTAAGTATAAGATCTGAGAGACTGTTGGGCTTGTTTGCAGATGTTCTGAGGGAGAGCTTCTTGGTATCCACGGTGGTTTTTACCTCCAAGCATGCAATGGAAGCTGTGCGTTTGAGAATCCCAGGAGGTCTCTAGACTTTGTCTCCTGTCCTTTCTGCTGGCTGGAACTCCTCCTGTGGGTTTGGTGTATGGCTTTCCTTTCTGTCATAGAGAATCTAGGTATGGAGATGGGGACGTTCACCAGGAAGGTAACCCCTGAAGTGAAAAGACAAGCAGACTTGGAATCAGAAGAAACTGGCATAGCTTGGTTAGTACTAGTCTGACCTTGGGCTGGTCGTTTGCTTCTATGAATCTTGGTTTTCCTTTTCTCTCAAGTGGAAATAGTTACAGTGACTCTTCTGAATTCATGAATTCTGTATCCATGATTCAACCAACTGTGAACAGAAAATGTTAGGGCAAACAATTGTATCTGTTCTAAACAGTTGCACATTTTCCCCTGATCCTTGTTCCCTAAAACAATATAGTGTGAACCACTATTTACATAGCATAAGACATATATTGTCTTAGTTATTATAGGTAATCTAGATATGATTTAAAGTGTATTGGAGAATGAGTGTAGGTTGTATAGGACTACTATGCTGTTTTATGTAAGAGACTTGAGTGCCCATGGGTTTCGGCATCCGTGGGTACTCTGGAGCCAATCCTCTGCAGATACTGACAGAACTATATTCTCTGTTACCAACTCAGTTAATTCACTCTCTTTTCTCATTGATTTAACACACTCATTTACACGCTCTTTGGTTTGTAATCCTGTTTATTCATTATAGAAGTCTTTGTTCACTAACTGGTATATGCTTTAGGTCCCCTGAAGCTGAGACAACCTTGCTGGATTTCTAGAGGAAGAGAGATAATGTGTACAGGGAGAATTACATGCTGAACAATGCTACTTTGATGTAAACATAGGATCACATTTGTGCCTCTCGAGAAGTTAAGCACAGTGATTATCAAGTCACAGGGTACTGAAATCAGAAGGGGCCCAGCTTAGGCTCTTGTTTAAGAAGCCGTTTGTTGGCTCTGTGCAACTTCAGAGCCTTTCTGGGATGCTCATGTCCATTTCTGGCTAGCAGAATTCAAGTGAGAAAGTTCCATTCCACCCTTTAACCCACTCAGATCATCTGTGAGCTCTCAACCTGCTGACTGGCTGCAGTTGCCTCCCCCGCAGCTCCTTCCTGTGTGTGTGGCATTCAGGAACATATGCTGTGTGTTCCTAGTAGTTTCTTCTGTGGACCCAGTTAGAGCCAGAGGTGCTCTGCTTCCTCTAACCTTGACATCTATTAAATGGTGATGACCCCTTTGCTTTCTGTTCCCTATGTGTGGCCTCCCTGTCCTTCACTGTTTAAACACACAGGGCCTCATTAAGAAGCAGTTACATGTTTATTGGCTCATTCTTGTCTGATGACCATGTCTTTTGTTAGTTAGTCTCTGTGTGTCTGGTGCCCAGCCCTGGACTTGACTCCTCTTGAACCCTCAAGGCTTGTTTGTAGTAGAATCAAATGGACGGGAAGGTCAATGTATTTCAGGGCTGGGTCCAGCCAGTCTTGGGAATTCACCTGCTGGTTTTCTTTCATTCTTCCCACAGTCTTCTTTCCCATAAGTCATTTGAAAAATAATTTGCCATTGTGATTCTTATATATGAGGTTTGTTTTTCATTCCTTGATTGTATTAATTATATTTCATATCTCACAGCTGGTAGAGTCTAGATTGAAAATATCCCACAACTTTCACTCTGTCCTTCATGACATTGAGATGACTGTGGCTTTGAAATCATTGGCTTGAAGGCAGGCAGCCTGGGTCAGGATCCCTCTCCCCTGCTTAGTTTCCATTTTTTAGATTTGTTTTATTATGTATGTATGTATGTATGTATGTATGTATGTATGTATGTACGTATGTGTCTCTCTATGTGCATGTGTATGTAGGTTCCTGCAGAGGCCAGAAGAGAGAGGTTAGAGCCCCTGGAACTGGAGTTACAGGTGGTTGTGAGCTGCCAGACATAGGTGCTGGGAACTGAAGCTGGGTTCTCTGCAAGAGCAGCAAGTGCTCTTGACTGCTGAGCCATCTCTCTATCCTGGCCTCTGCTTACTTTCTGTGTTGACACCTTGGCAAGTACATAATCTCTTCAGCCCCTGCTGTCTTCTCTGTATAGTGAGTTTGCAGTTGCACTTGCCAGGTAGGGTTACAATGTGAGTTACTGAAGCCCAGCCCTACAAAGAGACCTCTGCACACAGTAAGCATTCGGTGAATGACAGTTACTCTTCTGTTTTGCCTCTGCGGTTACTAGGTCACCATGCACCAGGAGGCAATGGAGAAGTACATTCTATTTGCCAGGCTCATGCTGCCACTATGGTCTCCCATGCTACAGAGTCCTAAAACACTAGTGCAGGAGGTTCTGGTACTGTGTGTGTGTGTGTGTGTGTGTGTGTGTGTGTGTGTGTGTGTATGTGTGTATGTGTGTGTGTGTGTTGCATGCTCACCCCAGGGGTTGAACTAGGGCCTCATGCATACCAGGCAAGCACTGCACCACTGAGCTACCCTCCCAGCCTGGTGGTATCTTAAACCCTGTGCACGTTTTATCACTTGGCATTTTCTCTTTTCCATCTCTCTGGAGGCTTTTGCCGTCTTTCTTTCTTTGGCTATGGAATGCTCAAGATGCCAACCTCCCAGCAGAGGGATGATGAGTTAGATTACCTTGATTACCTTTCAGGGACATTTCAACAGATGGCAAAACAAATTCTCAGTGTTTTCCCCTCAGACAGAGTGAATTCTCTCTGTATCTGGATGTGAGCACTTCACCGACCGTGAGGAGGACGTTATCCCTCCTGTCCTGCCTGCCTCCTGCTCCTGAGACTTGGCTGAGCCTCTGAAAAGAGGACTGTGCGCTCCAGACAGGAGTGGCTTCAGGGTTCTCATGCTTTCTAAACCCCCACAAACTTGAGGACAGTCATAGAAACCCCTTGCCTCCCCTCTGTAAGTCGTCTGGTAATATCAATAGTTGATGATGTCAGGGGCTCATGGGGGACTGTGCTCTTTCAGTATCCAGATGGGGATGTCATAATGGATGCACAGGCACAGCAAGAGGTCTTTCAGTTTGGTTCCTTGCCAATTCTTTTCTTCTTTCTCTCCTCTGTGTTCCAGGTGTACGTGTCTTATGATTATGGAAAATCATTCAATAAGATTTCAGAGAAGCTGAACTTTGGTGTGGGGAATACCAGTGAAGCCGTGATTGCCCAATTCTACCACAGCCCTGCGGACAACAAGCGGGTAAGGAAGTGCTGGCCCCTGGACCATCCTGACTCAGGAGTCTGCATTCTGGAAAGATTGCTGCACTAAAGGGGGCTGGGAGGTAGAGTCCTTTGTGATCTTTGCAGCATAGACTGATAGCCAGCCACTGTTTTCCTTTTAACCTGGATGCTGGTGACAGAATACAGTTCTCAAGGAGGATCTGTGCGGCACGAGGCAGGCCAAGTACTGGTCAGGCAGGATTTCTAGACAAACGAGGGCAGGTTCAACCACAGAAAATCTGCCAACCAACACGCTGCCCGACTCACTCATAGCTGGTGTTTCCCAGGTACACAGTGCTAATCCTTAGACTCCAAGCAAACTCTTGTTTTGCCTGGCATCCTCAATGTGTGCCAGCCTCTGTGTGTGTGTGTGTGTGTGTGCGCGCGCCTGCCTGTGCATCATATGTGTATATGCATTCCTCTTCCTTCTCTCTGAACTGTGTGGCCAGAGAAGCCCAAGGCAGCAGATGTGGCTGCGTCTCTGCTGTTTTCCCTGCTAGCACACCGAACTGCTTTGTTTCTTGGAACTAGAGGAAACTTTGACCCTGAGCCTCCAGACAGATGGAGCTGGCAGAGCAGGAATGGAACCCCACACCCTGCTATGGTGTCCTGCCCACTTTGTAACTCGTCTCTTTGGGAGTTGTATTGGATTCGTGCTTTCCAGAGCTGCATGGGTTCTTCCAGGGAAAGACTCTGGGTAGAAATCCCCGTAGCAGTGAAAGCTTTCTGGGGTGAGTAGAGCTGCTGTGTTTTGCTCATCCAGAAAGGACTGAGTGAGCCAAGTCCACAGGGTCTTTCCAGAACCTTGGTGCTGGCTTCTCAGGTTGCCTGGGATCTCCTGGCAGGGGCTACATGCAGAATACTCAGCAACTACTATAGCTGTTCTGACCAATCAGAACAGAATTTATCTACAGGGATCTAGGTCTGGGAAGTTCCCCCTTCCCAAGTTGCCTGACAGACTTTAACCTTTTCATTGCTAGATTAGGAGAGGTATCTTAAAACCACTGCCCCACAGAGTAGGGTCCTGGCCACTAGGGCTTTAGGAAGAAGTGCTTGGGATGTTTCTAGACAGTGGCTGTTTACCAGCTGGTACAGAGTGTTAAAACAAAACAAAACACAACCCGCATAGCCATTACTAATACCTGGTAGTTTAATAATAGGCCCTTCCGAATGACTGCAGAACAAAGGGGCAGTTAGCTGCACACTCCCCAGGGGAAAAGCAAGGAGGAGGAGTTGAAGGAATTGACTCGGTGTAGACTACACCACTGGCCTTGTCACCTGTCCCCCCTGCCCCATGACCAGTCAGGCTGCTTTGGGGAGTCCCAGAGGTGGGGAGTGGCTACTTCAGTATGGGCTTGTTGTGAGAGGCAGGGGCTCCATCCAGGACACGGCCTGCTGGCTGGTTGGCTGCTTCCTCTGGGTAGTTCTGTGTGCTCCCTGCCTCTCAAGAAGCAAGTAGGGCTAAGACTTCTCATGTTGTCAGGGTGTACTTACCTGATTATTGTTACCACCACTCGATTTCCACCCTGTCTCACAGCTGACCCTGGAGCCCCTCCTGTCATGCCCTAGACTCTCCCCTTTCAGCTTTTTCATGCCCCTCTCAGCGTAAGGCCCTGTTGTGTATGCAGACAAGTTATGTCTGTCTGCCTCTTGCTGGTTGTGAGCAGCTTCTCAGACCATGAGGCTGAAGACAGGAAGGAGGGTGCTTTGGGGATGCATAAAGGAGGCAGAGGATGGGGCTTTGGAGCATTAGGTCTGCAGAAGGTGTGGAGCACCTGTGGTGTTGGGGACAAGAAGGAAGTTGGAACACCCTGGAACTGTGATAATAGAGACTTAGGCGTTGCATGGTAAGGCAGGGCAGTGTGTTTATAGCTCACGTGCAGAGTAGTGCACCTTAAGTTTCTCATGGCTGAGCAGGTCATGCTCTAGAGTTGGCAGGGATAAGATTCTGGGAATAAAGAGGCTGCATTTTGGAGCACACATTGACAATTACACTTAAGACCCAGGGATGATGAGGAGGGAGGAATTGAGACAGCTTTTGTTTTTAGTTCCTCAGAGAAGGCTATTGCCCTCCCCAGACAGCTCAGGAAGGAAGTGATGTCTCTGCAGTGCTGATTGCTTTTGTTACTTTTACCTTTGTCCCCTGGCAGGCAAATTGCCCCCACCAGACCTACCACATCCTGAGAAAAGTCATACAAGGCTGGTATCTTGCTGTCAATAGTACCATGCTGGACCTAATGCAGTCACCTATGTAAAAATGCCCCGTGGTACTGTCAGAGCCTGAAATGCTTGTCAGCTCCTGTTCTGGAAGGTTCTGATGACAGGAGAGGGCAGCATGGAAGTGCTGTGGAAGGGGAAAGAGGATGTAAAGAGGCAACCAACTCCAGCAGTCTGTGACTTTGCCTTATGATACAGACGGAGTGGTACTCACTGTGCAATAGGACTCTGTTTTTGCATGAACCTGTATTCCACTGGCCACTTTGTGGTCCTGCATGCTGCTTCTTGGTCTGATGTGTAGCTCTGACCACCTGGCAGTTCTACTGTAGCCTCGAAGGCTCCCGTGGTCATTCAGGCAGTGACTCTCTGTCTGGGCTCTTTGACAGGGGAGGCTAAAGCACAGTTGGACTTCACAGCCTAACCTGAGCAGAAATGCAAATCCAACCTGCCCTTTTCCAGGAGGTGTTGGACTTAGGTAAACAGTAAACAGTTTGTTTCTCTTCTTTCCCTGGGCCTTGTCTGGGCTTCTAATTCATCTTCATACCTTGGTTCCTGTACTCAGAGCTGCAGAAAGTCCATTGTGTAGATAAAGTCTGTAATTAATTTTCCCAGAAGTATTTGAGTTCTTATAGAAAACACAGCTTTAGCTACAGGACAGAATTCCTCAGGAATATTAGGTGATTTCAAACAGGGATGCTGAAGTTGGAGTGAGTGCAGATGCTCCTGAGAACTCACAGTTTAGAAAGTGGATGGTAGGGCCATTCTGGTGGCCAATCTGTGGGCTTGGCCACCAGGGAACTCAGCAGCCAGGCATTCGGAGACTTAAAAGCAGGGTTTTCCTGCCACATGTATATGTGACACATAACATTATGTCAAGGTGCACCAGATGTGGTGAGCTTTAAGCAGACCCTTCCTCTAAGTGGAAATGGGGGTATGTGGTATTAAGGGAGGTTGGCTTAGGGCAGAAATACCTAAGTAGGGCACTGAAGGTTAAGAATGAGGTTTCATGGATGGGCACATGTGGGAGGAAGGCTGTGCAGAGACTCTGGGTACTGCTTGTGGTTTCTGTGCAGGGCAGTCAGGAGCAGAGGGTTTGCACTGAACTCCTCTGCTGTGTCAATCTGGCTGTTGCCTGGAGGTGGAGGAGATTATCTCTCACCACAATGACCACAAGGAGCCCTGAGAGTCTTTATGAGTTTGTGTGTGTGTGGGAGATGACTGAGAGGACCATTTTGGGGAAATGCATGGCATTTGCATGATGTGTTAGAAGAGACAGAGCAGAGAAGAGTCTAGAAGGGGAACCATTGTGGCAAAGAAGTTGCTCAGTCTCTCAAGCAAAACTAATTCAGGTATTTTTAGCACCCCAGGGATAACTAAACCCAGTTGTCTGCCCCTATTTTGTATATAGTCCCCAGTGAGGCCAGGTCACTGTTGGTACCACGGGGGGAACAAAGGAAGGGACAGAGTTTGAAAAAGATTCTAGAGGAAAACTAAGTGGGGTTAGTGATTATTTGAAAGGGATGGATGAAAGGAGAGTTGGAATAAAACCCCAAATCCATGAGTCCTGGGGTTGGGGTGTGTGACTAGAACTTGGGGCATGGGGAAGGAGAACTGGCTTTGGTGGGAACATGTTGAAGAATCCTGTTTTGGATACAGGGAAATATCTTGGTCTGTCCGAGTGGAGATACTGACAGCAAATGAAAGGGAATGTCAGTGAGAAGTCCGACTGTGGATGTGGAAGTCATTGTAGAACACTATTCTGTTAAGATCTGAGGCTGGATACTTTATATGAGCAAAAGAGATTTTGTTTAGTTCACAGCTGGAAATGTTAGCTAGAGGAGCCCCATCAATTTGGCCTCTGGTGAGGGCTGCCTTCTCCACACCATATGACAGGTGGCATTATGGTGGGACCGTGAGTGAGAGGGAGAGATCACTGGTGAGACAGGAAGCCAGAGTGGAGAGGAGAGAACCATCTTGATTCATTATAAGGACAACCTCCTTAATGACCTTGCGTGAGATCCCATTTCTGTGTGTGTGTGCGCACAGGTCTGGGCACATGCTGTCATGTGTTTGTGCTTGCGTGTGTAGGCCAGAGACTCATGGGTAACTTATTTAAAATTTTTTAAAAATGTATTTTTATTTTCTATGTGTGTGAGTGTTTTCCCTGCATGTATGTAAGTGTACCTGTGTCGTTCAAAGCCCGAGGAGATCAGAAGATGGCCTCGGATCCCCTGGAACTGGAGTTACAGACAGTTGTTAGCTGCCATGTGGGTGCTGGGAATTGAATTCAGGTCCTCTGGAAGAGTAGCCAGTGCTCTTAACCTTTGAGCCATTGCTCCAGTCCCATGCGTGACTTCATTAATGGCTTTTCATCTTAAGTTTCGAGACAAGGTCTCTCACTGAACCTGGAGTATACCTATTTAGCTAGACTGGCTGGCCATCAAGGTATCAAGGTCCAGGGATCCACCTGACTCTTCCTCTCCAGTGATGGGATTGCAGATGGGCACCACTGAGCCTGGCTTTTTATGTAGGTGCTGGGGATCTGAGCTCAATTCCTCATAAAGGCTTACATAAGGCCTTTATTGACTGAACTCGTTCCTCAATCCCAAGATCCCACTTTTTGATGGTCTTACCATCTCTTAGCATTGCCACACCAAGGACAAGGCTTCAATTTGTGAACCTTTGTGGGGCAAGCCACAACCAAACAGTTACAGGCAGGTTGTGCGTATTCTTAAAGACAGTAGTTGAAGTTGTGTGAAAGGAAATGCCAAGTTAGCAAAGGATACAAGACTTCAGTTTCCATGAACATAGAGACTAGGTGGAGGTAAGTAACCTGCAAGGAGTGAAAGCCTGAGGCTGCCAGGGGAGGAGGATGGAGAGTTGAGAAGAGAGAGTATTGCAGGAGGTGAGGGAAGAGAGTTTCCAGTAGAAACTGAGGCGTAGTGAGGTGAGGAGGCACATAAAGGAGTTAAACTGCACAGTGAAAACCTATGCATTCAACTCAGGAAACTGCCTTTGATTAGGAGGGCGATAAGGATTGAGGAACTGTTAAGAGCTGGGCTCTGCACAGCCTGCCATCTGCTTCTGCGCCATCTTGGGCATTTAACTACTGAGCGTCCTTGTTATTAAAAGGGGGTGTGACCAGATGCCCCAAAACACTCTGAGTCACTGTGAACGAGGAACAGCCTAAATAAGACACAGCATGCAAAACTTTTAGGTCTGTCCCTGACGTGGAGAAAAATGTTCTTTAAAAAAGTTATCATAAACAGTAACAAGTGACATTTTAGGTTCACAAATGTGACACTATAGGAAGGCATGAATTAGGTTTCTGGATTTCTGGAGAAATCCTTTTAAACTGGGAACACTTCCTTCCCCAGGAACCAAGATGCCTTTAGGGCAGGAAGGTAGGCTATTGCTAGGCAATACTTTTATGAGAAAAATGATGATGGTCCTAAGAGGATCCTAATTGTCTTTATTAACATCACATTTGCTTAGAGTCTTCTTGCTTTCAAAACTTTGCTACCTTTTCCTTAGATTTAATTAGGCTTCTGCAGAGTGTGAGATTTATATCGGTGCTGGGGAGGAAACACAAGAGAAAGAATGCATGAGCTGCAAATGCAAAGGGAGGAAGGACATTGGAAAGCAGGGCTGGAACTCGCAGGGTAGCTGTGCTTGCACAGGCCGGTGAGGAGCCTTCAGAGCTGGAAGCTCATCGTCATTCTGTCCTTGGACCGATTCCCTCAGGCTGGCTGCCTTCTAGAATTAAGGGATTGGGGGTAGGTGGTTCTAGGTCCACGTTGCGCTAGGTCTGATTCATAGACTTGTCCCTGGGCCAGCCTTGTCATCTGGGAGCAGATTGCCGACCCCCCCCCGCCCCCACACCAGGTCTTCTGTACATTCAAGGCCTCTATCATCTGAGATTCCCAATGGTTTCCAGCCATTCCTCAGGCTCTAGAGGCTGTCACCAAACCTGGTGATATCTTTGTCCTCTCTTCTTTGTGCCCCAAGTTGAACTCCCCTAGACATGGAATGTTCTTTCTTATGGAAGTCATACCTGCCCTTCAGCAGCTACCTCTTCTGTCAGTTCTGATACTTTAAACTGGACATGTTTTCTCAGGACTCTGCCTGTGGATGCTGTTTTAACCCTGAGCTGTGGCCAGCAGTGGGCATGCCTGCCTCTCACATTAGGCTGCCATAGTTGAGGGCAAGGTCCTGCTTCTCATTGTGGCATCCCAACTTGTGGCCCTTGGTTGGTCTGCAGTATATATGTACTAAATCGTATATGTATATGTATACCAAATTGTATATGTGTATGTATGCTAAATTGGACTACCTTTCTCTGGTCCCCAATGAAGTCTTTTTTTTTTTTATGTGTATGCATATATTGTCTTCATGTAGGTAAATGCACTCTTATCATGCAATGCCTGTGGAGGACAGAAGAGGCTGTCAGATCTCTTGGAACTGGAGTTATGGATGATTGTTAGGTGCCATGTGGGTGCTGGGATTCAAACCCAGGTCTTCTGTAAGAACAACCAGTGTTCTTAACCACTGAGCCATCTCTCCACCCCCCCCCCCAATGAAATGTTGAAGCAGCAGTCGCTGCTGTTCAGCTGAACTTATTAAAAGTCACTGACCCATGCATAAGTAAAATAAGGCAAGGCCGCTGCTCACACAGCCACTTTCCACTCTGTCTCCAGAGTGTGCCTGGCAGCACAGTTGGTCCCCAGGGTTACCTAGTCACCTGGGCACCTGGCATAGAAGCAAGAAGGAGCAGCTTATCTTAGATGGATGTGATTTTAATGATTTTCCCGGAAAAGTGTGACCTGAGGCTGCTCTGAGGATGCAGGGAACATGGTAGCCCCATCAGGGCTCAGCCAATCAGAGGGCAGAATGTCTCTGTCCTAGCTGCCAGTAGCCACCTTCTGATTGTGACTGAGAGACTTGCCAGGGCGTGAGAATGTCCAAGTCAGTTGAAAGGGAAAGAGAAAGGCTTGCCAGGCTCATGACCTGATTAAACAAGCTTATACTGTGGCTTCAACTGGCCTATCTCTGCCTCTCTCTCTCTCTCTCTCTCTCTCTCTCACTCCCTCCCTCCCTCCCTCCCTCCCTCCCTCGTGTGTGTGCATGTGCATGCTTGTGTATGTGCATAGGAATGGAGGCCAGTGGACAGTCTCTGGTGTTGGTCCTTAGACACTGCCACCTGTTTTTCTGTATTGAGGTAGGATCTCTCTGTGGCTTGGAGCTCCCCAAATAGGCTCTTCTGGCTGACCAGCAAGCCCTAGGGATCCACCATCTCCACCTCCACAGTGCTGGGATTACAAGCATGCCCCACCAAGCCTGACTTTTTTAATGTGGGTTTTGGGGATCAAACTCAGGTTCTACTAGTGTGTGTAGGCAAGCTCTTTACCAACTAAGCTGTCTCCCAGTTCTGCACTCCTGCCTTAACTGAGCCTGATTTAATGTGCCCAGCATGATTTTCTTCCCAAGAGATGTAAAGAAAGAAAATAGCTCCCTGCCAGTGTCACGGCCCCTTGACACATGGGTACTTACTTGCACGTGGCTGGGGACCTGTTGGGCAGCCCTGGTCGGGTGCTGAGCTTACCTGTTCTCTCCTGTAGTACATCTTTGCAGATGCTTATGCCCAGTACCTCTGGATCACGTTTGACTTCTGCAGCAATATCCATGGCTTCTCCATCCCATTCCGGGCAGGTGACCTCCTCCTCCACAGCAAGGCCTCCAACCTCCTCTTGGGCTTCGATAGGTCTCACCCTAACAAACAGGTAAGTCTCTTCTGGTGTTCCCTTCCCCCACCCCCCTCCTTGTGTGTTTCTCCTGGGGTTTTCTAATCTGCTTGGGTAGATTATGTGTCCTTTGTGTGACCTCACCTCCTGCCTCTCCCTCCTCCTCACTCAGACCTCTGTAGCTACTGTTTCACTTACCACAGCTAAGGAACAGTACCTCCCCCTGGCACCTCTGCCTGTGTCCCTGCCAGCACTTAGCACCCAACACTTGGCAGGCCCTGTGACTTCAACATCGGCCTTTTCTGGTGCACATGCACCATTTCCAGTCTATGGGGGAGATTGAGGCCCTGGAATTAAAGCAGAGAGCTGTGTGCGAGGTGTCGAGTCGGATCTCTTCTGGGACTTCTTGCCAAATTTCTGTTTGACTTCCCTATCCTCAGCGTTATTTATTTTGTTTGATCCTCTTTATGCTGAGATCAAATCCCGGTAAGTGCTCTACCTGGCAAGTGCTCTACCTCTGAGCTTCACCTCTACCTGAAGTATACTGTTTTGCATTTGTCTGAAGTTAGAGTAAATTTTAATATTCCGTGTTTTGTGCGTGCCTGAGAGTTATAACACGAATGTGTGTACTTTCCCCTTTGAATAAGGTTTGAAGGAAACCTAACAGTTGGGAGAGAGCCTGCGTAGGATTTTTGTCTCAAGGTTAAAATATGTCAAGTCAAGAACACTGGTTGCCTGTAAACCTGCAGATCCTGTTTGAATGGATGGCTGGGGAGTCTTGAATGCTTTTGCTTAGAAGCACCTTGAAACAATTCTTTGCTTTGTGGTTGTTTAACCAGAACACAGCTCTGTTTACCTTTGCAACCCTTGGGGAGTAACCTGAGCATAGGGGCGGGGTCAGTTTATCAGTGGAGGTGGAGTATTGTTATTTCTGGGCTCAGGCTTAACCACTGCTGTCTGCAGGTTGTGGGGCCTCAGCAAAGGTGAGCGGGTTAATTCCTTATGGCCAAGTCCATGTGTTCATTTGATGCTTGTGGTGCTCTGGACTTTGCCAGGGCCCTCTGCAGTCTGCTGAAATGACCAGACTTTTTAAAATTTAATTCAAATTTTTTTTTTTTTGGTGCTGGGTACCACTTATGTGCCAGATAAGTACCCTATCCTCTAGCTATTCCCATAGCCCACAGCTTGCATTTATCTCTCTTTTTTAAAAACAGAATATCCATTTTATTATTTTAACATTTTGTGTGTGTATAGTTCATTGACATTAAGTAGGTTCATGTTGCTATGCAACATCACCTCCATGCAGCTTATCTCATACAACTGAACCCCCTTGTCCATGGTAAACCTCAACTCCCCATTCTTTCCTGCCCCCAGACCCTGCTGTCTGCCTTTCTACCTGCAGCTTCTGTGACTTGACTCCTCTGGGTCCCTCTTCTAAGTGGAGTCATACTCGATTTGTCTCTTCGTGCTGGGATTACTTCACTAAGCATATTTTCAATGTCCTGGGCTCCAGCGTGGCCATGATCTGATCTCCTTCCTTTTCAGGCGATTATACCTTGTGGCTGTGCTGCACCCTGTTCATCTCTCTAACCCTCGGTAGACACTTCCATATTTGAGTATTGTGAATAATGCTGCTACTCTACAAGGTTTTTTATTTTTGTTTCTCTAATGTTAAGGGAGAAGCCCAGGATAGGCCTCGTGCCTGCTGTAAGCACTCTGTCACTGAGCTACAACCCCAGGCCCTACCACAGGATTTGTAGGATACTTTCCTATTCAAGCAGTGCCATTACCTGGGTGCTGGTCTTGAGGAAGGTCTGATTTCTGATAACCAATAAGCAGGAGGCAAGTCAAACTCACTTTCCTTCCTGCTGCGATGGAGAGCAGAGCTGTCCTTCCCTCTCTGCCTGTTTGCCTCCCGTCGTGTGGTACATTCATTACATGTTTCTTTTGAATGTCTGCTAAATACCTGGGCCCTGAGGTGACCTCAGTGTCTGTCCTCACAGTGCCCTGTGGAGGGTGGGCTTTCAGTGGATGCTAGGGCTCATGCCGTGTGGGTGGTACATGCATCTCACGTCACTGCCACTTCCTATCCTTTTGGTCTTTGCAGCTATGGAAGTCTGATGATTTTGGCCAGACCTGGATCATGATTCAGGAACATGTGAAGTCCTTCTCTTGGTAAGTTGTGTCATGTGGCAAATCCTGACTTCTAAAACCTCCAATTCCCTTCTGGCTCCTCCATGCTTAGATTAGATTACATACTTTGGTATGATTGTGACCAGAATATTTGACAGAAACAAGTTAAGGGAGGAAAGGCGTATTTCAGCTCATAGTTTCAGACAGTGTTCCTCTTGTCTTGGTAGGGGAGGGTGAGGACCAGCTCATAGCAGCAAGAAGAGTCAGGAGGCTGGAGTTCACAGCAAGGCACACGAGGATGCAGAAAGCGAGGCAGGAACTAGGAACAGAATTAGCTCTCAAAGGCCTGACCTTGTTTACTTACTTCTATCAGCCAGGCCCAGGTTCCCAAAGGTCTCATAGCCTATATAGCTGGGAGCGGGTGTCCAGAACAGCCCCGTGAGAAACAGTGCACGCTCCAGCTCTGACATGGTAGACAGACCTTTTGCTGTCATCTGAGGTGTGAGGTGCTTAGCTCGAGAAATACATCGTCCAGGCCTGAGAATTAGAGCTCAGGAGGGGTGAGGGAGGAGGGGCATCCGTGAGAGGAGGGCAGAGCTTTGTGTCTTTCAATCAGCCAGGGAACTTGGGGAAACCTTGAGGCTCTCGCATGTTGTCGAGCTCCTAAAGACTTCCGTGTTTTAGGGCATTGTGTCACAAGTGGGATTTTCCTCCATATATGATTCAGACAGTGGTACATTCATTACATGTTTCTTTTGAATGTCTGCCAAACAAAACCTGCTCCATCTTTTCGGTTGAATTGAATAATCTGTGGATATGGTTATTAAGGAGGCTATAGTTTAGGATGTAAGACAAGACAGCTTGTGTACACATCCACATCACACATTTTCAAGGAAGGACAGAAGTACCAGACAGCTTGAGAAGCTGAGGAAGGGCTCTTCCTTCCTAACGAGAGGCTCATGGACAGCTTCCTGGAGGAGGTTGCTCTTGACCCAGGCTGTGCATGGCAAGCAGGAGGCAGAAGACAGCATGTGTAGTTGTAGAGGACGGGAATTCTCAATAGGAACAAGATGGTCAGAGGCAGCAATGCACTATTATGGTACTTAGGTGGGAGGCATTGAGTCTTATGTTTGGCCAGTTCAGACAGGGTACCAGATGAAGTTTGTGAAGAGAAATTGGTATAAGAATCTGAAGTCTTGCAGAGGTGAGATGGCTCAGCAGGTAAAAGTGTGTTTCTTGCCAAACTTGATGACCTGAGTTCAATCCCCGGGATCCACATGGTAGAAGGAGAGAACCAATTCCCATATGTTGTCCTTTGATCTGAACATGATGTACGGTGGCATGCACATGCTCAGGCAGGCAGGCAGGCAGGCAGGCAGATAGACAGACAGACACATACATACACACGTAATAACAGAAATTAGAAAAAATACACAGTGCTTGAGAGGAATTTGGATGGAATTCTGGGAGCAGTGGTGAGGGGCAGCACAGGCTTTTGAGGAGGGGGACAAAGTAGAAAAGCTTGCTTCAAGAAATATACCATGTCTTTGATTGCCTGTCACCTCATACTCTGCCAGTAATGCAGCATGTGACCTTGAACACAGAACTTTGCATGTGCGTAGTGCATGTGTGGGACAGATTCTTGGGAGTGGGAGTGAGTGGGTTCATCTTGCTGTTCATCATTCGGTTCCCATGAATAACTGAGAGACACCACAGACAGTGGCTTCCTAGTGGACTCTTGAGCCTCCTGTCCTGCAGGTATCTCTCTCACCTCCCCATTTTAGTGTCTAGGATCAGTGCAAAGACAATGTGGTCATCGATTCCACGTTTGTGCTCACCTGCAGTCCGTATGGATATCCTGTTGTCTCAGTGACCTGTGTGTGTGTGCGCATGTGCACACGCATGTGTGTCTGGGTGTCTGTACGTGTGTACATGTGCATGTGGACACCTGAAGTTGATACCAGTTTCTTTCTTGATCACTCTCCACTCTATTTATTTAGCAGCGTCTCTTGCTGAACTTGGAGCTCACCAATTCTGCCTAATTTAACCAGTAAGCTTACCCTGGGGAGGGATCCCCATCTTTGCCTCCCTAGTGCTGGGATTACAGGTGGGCTACAATGCCTGCCTGTCTTTTGTATGGGTGCTGGGGACCTGAACTACAATCCTCTTGCTTGCATAGCTAGTGCTCCATCCAGTGAATCATCTCCCTAGCCCCGTGACAATCTTTTTTATACACTCAGAATTGCCCACTCAGCCACTGCCCCACGGAAGGCAGAAGCCACTGCCTTACTCGAGAGTTTCAGCTGCTCTTTCTGTGTTTACTTTTGTCCTACAGTTCATCCTCAGGGAACAGGCAGAGTGACACTATGGAAATCAGGTCAGACTGTATCTGTTTGCTTTTGAACCTTCCTGTGTGTGGTGTGTGTACATTTCTGTGGCATTGTGTACGTATGTGCAGGTGTATGTGCGTGTATATGGGAGGTCGATGCTGGTATCTTCTCCCTCACTCTCCACCTTAGTTTTTGAGATAGGGTCTCTCACCGAACCTGGAGCTCACTGATTTGGCAGGCTGACTGGGCACTGAGCTTCTGAGACCCAGTCTTCCCCAACCCCAGTGCTGGCATTACATTCATGTGCTGCCTCTCCTGTGCTTTACCTGGTATTTAGCAGGAGATCTGAACTCAGGCCCTCATGCTTGTGCAGAAGGCACCTTAACTGCTGTGCCATCGTCCCAGCCCTCCTTTGAATCTTTGGATGCATCATTGTTTGTCTCAGATGATGTGCTGGTACACAGAGTCCAGGGCTGTTCTCTGCCTACAGTGCTCATTCCTAGCTTATGCTTACAGTTTTTCCCCTAACCTCAACAAACTTTTACTCAGCTAACTCCCTCTAAATGAGACTTATCCAATGCGTCTTATTAACTTAAACTTTATTGTATATTTTAAAGTGTGTAATATGATGTTATGAGACAGATATAGTTAGTAAAGTGGTTACTATAGCGAAGCTAATTGTTTCTGTCATCTCACAGTTCTCTCTCTCTCTCTCTCTCTCTCTCTCTCTCTCTCTCTCTCTCTGTGTATGTGAAAAGAGAAGCTGTAGTGTATTCATTTAGCAAAAATCCCAAAGACAAGATTTGATTGTGAAGTGTAATCCTCAGGCTGTGCTTTAGCTCTCTAGACTTCTTCATGGTACAGACTCACATGCTACACAGGCACATGTCTGCTTTGATCTTTTAACTTACACCTCCTACCTGACCTCCACTCCATTTGATTTTGTGTAAAAGTCTAAGTGGAAGTGGGAACATGTATTTTTTCTTTGATGTAGCATAATGTCTCCTGTTTATCCATGTTGTCACACAATACCTCCATTTTAAAGGCTAATATTCCATTGTATGTATATACCAGAGTGTCCTTATTCATACTTTTTTTTTTTTTGTCAATGATCACTTAGGCTGTTACCTTATCTTGGTGTCCTGGTCATTGTGATTAATGCCTCAGTAAACGTGGGAGCGCAGATATACTCAGAGGCGGTGATTCCATTTCCTTTGGGCTGTGTACCCAGAAGAGAGACTGCTGGGTCGTACGGTAGTTCTGTTTTTAATTTCTGCAGAACCCTTCTTACTGTTTTTCACAGGCAGGGTGGCAGTCTCAGGTCACATGGTGTGGTGTGGGTAGGTGGTTCCCCTTTCTCCACCTTCTCCCCAACACCCTGTTGTCTTTTTAATAATAGTCATTCTCCTTCTGGGGAGCTGGTAGCTCCCCATACTTTGATTTACATTTCTAGGCATCTAAACACTCTAACTTCCATTGGTTCTTCTATATACTGTTCTTTGGGGAGTACTACGTTACACTCTAACATACGATTGCTTGGTTTGCTTGTCTTCAGAATGAAAGCATCCCAGGGAAGGGGCTCCTGTTACTCTTGCTGAATCCCCAGGGAAATTGTAACTTCGGTAGACTTTGCCAGGTTTTTGTAGACATTGTCAAATGTGTATTCATCTCAGTAGCACAGAATAGTGTCTTTCTCTACTGCTAACGAGACAGTGCCTCATTGTAGCTCTAATTTACATTTTCTCATTATGAATGAATTTGAGTGCCTTTATTTTGCTTAAGGATCTTTTTTTTTTTTTTTTTGTGAGCTAGGGTCTCATGTAGCTCAGGCTGGTCTTGAACTCTCTATGTAGTGGATAATGACCTTGAACTCCTGACTAAGAATCATTTTTATCTCTTCTTTTGGGACATATCTGCTAATGCCCTTTGCCCTTTTACTGTTAGTCTTCTTGTTGATTTCTGGGAGCTCTTTATATAGTTGAGACAAGCCCTTTAGCTGTGATGCAAGACAGGTTGTATGTGTACACATTTCTGGCAGTGATCATTTGTCTTTTGAGTTTTACCTGCAGTTCTAGTCTTCGTTAAATGTAATGGACCAATACGATAAACATATTATCTGTTGTTTTAGTTCTTTGTTTGAAGCTGAATGTTTTCAAGTTGCTATTACTTCCTTAGTAACTAAGGATGCTGAAGATGGAGGGAGAGTGGGAGGCCCCTGCAGCTAAATGTCTTTCGTGGACTTCCATTTCATGGAAGGCAGCTGTTTCTGACCCTTTGGTATTTTCCTTGGTCAGAGGTTATGGTATCTTAGTAGAATTATAACTACAGTGTCATCTAAGGGCAGCCTCTACCCAGGGGATACTGTTATAACTTTCCTTTGTCTTATGAGGATACATTGATCTTTTATCACTGCAAGAAAAAACATATTAAGAGGATAAAACAGCAGGATTACTAAATAGAGGAATTCTGAGTTCAGGAATTTGCTTATAGTAGCTTCTGCAGACAAGCAGGTATCTTGGAAGGGACTGGCCCATCTTCAGGTTACTTGGGGGATTTCCTTCTAGGAGTCTACATAGTGAGAGTGTAATATGATCTTCCTGAGAATAATAACACAGGTTTGATCCAGTAGGCTTGGCAGCCTGAGAGCAGTGGTGGGAGCCAGTAATCCATGTTGTCTAGCGCTGCAGACTGGCAAGACAGGGCAGGGGAAGACTTGTGAGGTTGGAGGGACTCAGGGGTACCCTGTTCAGCCTCCTGGAGGGACTGTGGGTGAGGTAGGTGGGGCCCAATGACTATGCTCAGAGGTAGCCATCCTTGGAATTTCCCAGTGGAAGATAGAACAGGAAGTAACTAAGAGAGCCTGTGGCCCTGGAAGGTGGGGAGGTGCCCCAGAATAGGAAGCTGTAGATGGAACTGATCCCAGAATTGGAGGTCCAGATAGGGAGGAGGGAAGAGAGACTGGGGTGTTCTATCTCTGAACCTTGGTTTCCTCTTTTGGCTGGAGAGTTAGGGATAATAGAAACGAGCTTGTCTCAAAATATGGCAAGAAGGGTTTCTTCCTCTCTATCTTTTAAATATACCCAGCACTGCCTTTTCATTTGCATATCCTCTAGGCTAGAGGAAGTACTTTAATCAGTACTTCTAATTGTGGAGAAGAGAACATGCCACCAGCTGCCCCCACACAGAGCATCTGATTGGGAAGAATGGATCTCTCCCACGCTGGGCCCAGGCTGCTGGTTTCTCCACCACTGTGCTCAGAGTCCAGATTGTAGGGCAAACATCAAGTCTTTCCCCGTATAAAACAAGACCTTCCCTTTTCAATTTCTTATCTTCCTTCTTCCTGTGTATGCATGTGTGTTCACATGCACATGTGTGGAGGCCAGAGGTTGATCCTGGATGATTTTCCCAGTTACATTCCATCTTATTTTTTGAGACAGGGTCTCTCACTAAACCTGGAGCTCACTGGTTGGCTGGGCTGGCCAGTCAGCCAGCCCCAGGGATCCTCCGGTCTGCACCTCACCAGTGCAAGGATTATAGGACATCGCACCTTGCTTTTTATATGGGTACTGGGGCTCTGAACTCAGATCCTGTGCCTACCCAACGGGCACTTTACTGAGTCATGTCCCCAGCCCTACTTTTTCCTTTTTAAAAAGCCTGATTGTTTCCTTTGATGAACATGCCCTTGACAATCCATCTTGAGGACTTTGAAATGATCACCTCCATTGTACTGAGTACCATGGGGCATTTGGAACTGTACACAGGCATAAGTGACGCATTCAGTTAATGCCTGAGTCATCTCTGCAGGTCGACTGTGGGTTTCTTTTCCTCACTTCCCGGTTAATTTTCCATTTGCTGATCTGCTGCCCTTGGCGTTCTTGTAAATGTAGGGAAGGCTGGACAGATCAAGTGGTCTTCCCAGCTGCTGGGTGGGGCTTTCTTTGGGGACATTAGTCTGATCTTTCATCCTGCAGCTGCAGTTGGGATTAGCATATTTAGTTGTGGTCCATGCAGCCAATGCAGCAAGCATCTCTTCAGCCAGGGGTCCTATTATCCCAACGGTAGTAAAAGAAACGCAAGACATAGCCTCTCTGAGTCCATGTGCTGTATCCAAGAAACTTGAATAAATACATGAGATACAGTGTGTAAAAGAGATCATTGTAGTGTAATGAGACTGATTCCAAAATTCACCTGGCCTCAGTACTTGTATATGGTATTTGAGTTAAAACTTGTATAAAAGCCTTGAAGGCTATATAGATGTGTGGCTAATATTGGGGGGGAACAGGAGCATTGGAGTGGACTTCTTGGGGGATGGGGACTTGAATGTGACCTCAGGGGAGAGTAGGATTTAGTTGGGACCGGAGTTTGTACAGAGGGTACTTCTGCACAGGGGTGTTTGGAAAAGCATAGAAGGCAAGCGTTGTCCTCCCTCTTTCAGGGACATCCAGTCTGTTGGCAAAGCAGGCACCTCATGGGACACGAAACGTACTGGCAGGAAAACTCGGGATGGCATGGTTCAGTGACGTCAGCAGGGGACAGGCAGGGCAGAATCCAGGGGACAGAGCTCTTGGCTCAGAGGTTCCCAATGTGCTGTGTTTTTGAAGCTACAGCACCTTAGGGAGCTGCCTTCATCTGCTGAGGACCCTAGCTTCAGGCCAGGACCTTGCCAAGTGCCTGCAGCAGCCATTGCTTATTTATTTGGAACCATTCCCCTCCAGCTTTTTCTCCTTTTAACAGGCAGGGCCACAGTTTGCTTTGGAAACAGCCATAGCCGCATAAAACACCCAAAGTGGCAATTCCCTTGCTTCTATACTGAGCTAGGGAATAACCAAGACTCTACTTGAGGCACAGAGAGTATCATTTGTAGCTGGTACCAAGAGGCCTTAGATCCTGAGCACAAAGCCTCCATACCTCCAGTGATTAAACAGGGGAATGATAACATTTCTGTTTTCCTTCCAGGGGAATTGACCCTTATGACCAGCCAAACACCATCTATATTGAGCGGCACGAACCCTCTGGCTTTTCCACGGTGATCCGCAGTACAGATTTCTTCCAGTCCCGGGAAAACCAGGAAGTGATCCTGGAGGAAGTGAGGGACTTTCAGCTTCGGGACAAATACATGTTTGCTACAAAGGTGGTGGTGAGTTGAACACACTCAATAAACTGCTTCATCAGTTCTTGTGTAAGATCTGCTATCCATTCAGTGAGTTTGCGTGAAAGTGACTGCATGATGTGTTTGGAGTCGCTTGGCTGAGCATCCTGGGCATCCGTAAACATTACAGAAGGACTTGAAAGATGCTGGGAGGTCAGAGTGAGAAGTTTAGGACAGGCACTCAGAGTGTCAGGAGACTCTAGGAATTTGGTTATTGCCTGGTAGTCAAGGAGCCTTGACAAAGAAGAATTTCTTTTTCTGTGTGAGTGTGTAGTATTTTATGTGCATCTGTATCTGTGTGTGGTACATGTATGTATGTGTGTGGGTATGTATGTGTGTGCACCAGTGTATGGAGGTGAAAGGCTTATGTCAGGTGTCTTCTTCATTTGTTCTCAACCTAATTTTTTGAGGCAGCGTCTCTCTGTTTCTCTCACTGAACGGTAACTCACTGATTGAGCTAGGCTTGCTGGCTAGTGAGCTTTAAGGATCCTCCTGTCTCTCCCCAGAGCCAGGACTGTAGATATATGTACCACTCTGATGTGTGTGTGTGTGTGTGTGTGTGTGTGTGTGTGGTGTGTGGTGTGTGTTGAGGCCAATACTTATTAGATTCATAAGACTATGAATTTTCTGATACAGATGAGGGAAAGGGGCAATAAGCTGAATTATCAGTGTGGGGATTGGAACTCGGGTCCTTCTACTTGTGCAGCAAGAACCTTACCAACTGAGCTAGCCCTAAAGACAGTCTTCCTTGTAAACCCAAAGACAAGAACACAGAAGTAAGGGCTTGGTGGCTGTTTCTTTGAATCCCATCACCTGGTTTCCTTTCATTTTTCCTTCCCATTTCTTGAGATTTTGGGAGAACTTTCATTTACACAGCTAATAAGATGGGTAGTCATTGGCTAGTGGGAGTTAATGCTCAAAGAAAAGCAGTAATTAAGTTTCCATCTGTCAGTAAGTAGCTTAACTCTCAGCCTTTGGGGAGAATCTTCTCCTTGGTTTGGTGCTAGAACCAGATGCTGAAATGGAAGGCTTGCTCATTTCAAACCAGAGTGGATTATTTAACAGGCCTCCCTATGCCACTGTGTTGAGTTCACGCTATCATTCTGTGCAAAGGGGCAAAGCAGGTTCTGGCTGGAGCATGGCTGGCCGCTGTTCCTGGGAGCTGCTGCCTTGCTTCTTACTGGGGCCACTGCCTTCCTTACCAAACAGCCTCTGGTACCTGGGAGGTGGCCCTGCTTCCTGCCCCTGCTAACTTAAGGACTGACGTTGGATGGAGTGTTTTCCTCTAGGTTCAGTTATGTCCTCAGTGGGTATCAGGGCAAGCAGAAGCATGTCAAGCCCTGGCAGACTCCTAGAGTTGAGAGAGACCCTTGCTAGCAGGGAAAGCAGGCGGGAAGGCCAGAAAGAGAAGAGCTGGTTCAGGTGACCGCCTAGAAAAATGTTATTTTTACTTTGTTTTGTTAAATTTTTTATTGCATTTACTTATTTTGGAATATGTGTGTGCACATATGACGATCAGAGGACAACTTGTGGGAGTCACTGATCTCCTTCCATTACGTGGATCCTGGGGATTGAACTCAGGTCTTCAGACTTTGTGGCAAGCACCTTCACTGCTGAGTAATCTTGCTGACCCACAAAATGTTTATTAAAACCACTGACCTCTGGCCATCTTTTCTGTTTGCATCGACCCACAGACACTAGATCTTTCCCTTCTTGCTTTGCCTGCCTTGCTTTTATACACACACACAGGGGTGAGTTGATAGAAACTCACACAAGTGGAAACCAGGCCAAACATTGATACTTTGTGACCCAAATTTTATAGTCCTGAGTTCTGTTGTAGTCTAACATCTTATCTATAGCTCTTCTGTGGTTATGAGCCTTTTCTGTTTGAATTCTTCTGACCTGGTGTTACTGCATGGTTTTAATTTTTCAGTTCTCAAACACAGAACAGCTTCCTTGGCTTAGCCTCATGTTCTCCTGTGTGCGGCCTTAGGTGCATGACTGATGTGCCTTTCTCTCGATCCTAGATTTCACCCAAGAGTTTAAGGTAGAATAGCTCCCTGTTGGAGCTGCCTGTGCTCTACTCCAGTGTATAACAGACACAACTGGTCTTCAGAGTGCCTAGAGAGTTCCTATTACTCCTGGCCACTCGTGAAATCAGGGGTTATGTCTGTTTTGATGGTCACTGATGTTATCCCTGGGGTCTTGCACAAATTTCAGGAGATACACCGTAGAGTTGAGCAAAAGTGGCCTTTGACCATGTAACTTAAAAACTAGACAAGTACACTTTAAAAAAAAGTTGGTGAGATATGGGATGGAACATCTGGAGAACTTGATTTCACTATGAGGTGCCTAGGAGACTAGTAAGCACAGCTCTAGGTGTGTCTGTGAGGGCGTATCCAGAGCTGATTAACTAGGGGAGACATGCTCTGAAAGCAGGTGGCACTATCCAGCCCCAGAAGAGATAAAAGAGGAAGAAACATAAACCAGGTCTTCTCTGTCTGTTTTCTCTTCGCTATGATGTGAATTCTGTTTTTGCTCTGTTCTCCTTGCTGCAGCAAAATAAAACCTCTGAAACCGTGAGCCTAAATAAACCATCCTCCTTTGAGGTTTTTTTTTTTTTTTTTTTTTTCTGGTATCTGTCATGGTGAGGTCGTCTGACTAATGCAGTTAGTATTGCGTTATTGGGCTTCTGGGACTCTACAGTGAGGGTGGATCTAGTAGAGCATTAGTCATGCTGTCTCTCCAGGTCCTGGTGTGGCTTGAGGCCTATAGTTCTAGGTAAGATGTGCCAGGACCACACTGGGGTCTTAGGAACACCTGCAGCAGCATTGAACAGGGACAGATATTACAAATGCACCTTGTAGGCTCAAAATATTTTCCCCCTAGCATCCCAGAGAATTAGCAGAGTTGAAGAAAGTGCCCCAAGGGAGCTGGAGAGATGGCTCGGCAGTGAGCAGTGCTTGCTGCTCTTCAGGAACCTGAGGTTTGTTCCCAGCACGCTTGTTGGGCGGCTTACAGTTGCTTATCACTCCAGCTCCAGGGGTTCTGATGCCCTCTTCTTGGCCTGGGTGGGCATTTGCACAAACGTGGCATATATTCATACAGAGACAAACGTGGCATATATTCATACAGAGACAGACATGGATGTGTACACACACACACAGACACACACACACACACACACACACACACACACACACACACACACACACACACAAGAAAAAGTGCCCAAGGTCTTCTGTCTCTCGAAGCTTCATACAATATCCAGTTATACTGTCAACAGAACATTTCTCAAAGGATGGATTGATGAGAAGAGAAACATAACCAGCAGTGGGAGATGAAATGGTGTTTTCCTCCTTTTTTATTGAATTATCACTAAACCACAAGAATAAGCAAATGTTACCTGGGTCTGTTAAGCCTTCCAGTAGGAGGGGCGATGCTGCCTCGTGTTGCTTTTCATCTGGGGTCTTTTTAGTTCCAAGGCTGCCTGGATTTGGGGAATTCCAACAGGCTTGATTGTTAAATGGATTCAAGTCAAAACTTCTAAAATCAAATTTGGAAAATCAAAGGAACTAATTTTAAAACTCCAGATAGTTGAATTTGAATGATTAAGTTTTGTGCTTTCTTCCAGCACCACAAATGATTGCATAAGTATAAGAATTCCTCTTTTAGTCCGCGTGGGTACAGCTGTCAGAGTTTTGAACTATAACTGGTGCTGTTGGGTCCCCAGGCTGTGTCCTGGCTGCATATGTGCTTTCTATCTGATGCCCCTTTGCTTTCATATTCTGAGTTTAATTTTTGTTCCTTGCTTTTCAGCACAATGTTCAAGAGTTTTGTTAGTCTACATCAAAATGATAAGGTCATGCAAAAAAGAATGAGATGCTTTAGTGATCTGTAAGCTTGGTGCTGTATGAATTGTCTGGAGAAGACATGAGCAGACATCTACTCACTCCAGCTGGGGCACTAATCATACCAAAGTATGATTCCACTCATGTCTAGCTTGGTGAACCAATGACTTTATTAGGCTTACCTACAGGAGCATGGGTAACCTCCCAGACTGCGGCATTGCTGGAAGGTCTCCCCATGATTTCCCCATAGCTGCATGGAGCCCCCTCGTCATTTAATTTTCTACCTTCCATGTACTCTAGCACCTCCTGAGAACACGTGCAGCGGAGGCAGAGTTTCTTACAGCTGGGAGGGAGGTACAGGAGCCAGTGGTGGAAGTCTCAGGTGAGGGTCTGACCTTCCACAATTCCTCCTTCACTGAGGGAACGTTAGGAGTCAACACGTCTGATCTTGAGGGTCTCTTGCAAGTAGTTCCAGGTGCTCTAATGAAGATGGCAATGGTTGTTAGGTTCAGAGGACAACATTCAACAACATATGTTAATGTACAATAGTTAGGTTCTTCCTAGTAGGTAATAGTGGCTGCCTAAAGGACTGAGGTGGGTGATGATCAGAAGCTCGTTTACAGCCTGGATCCCAGATGATGGTGCAACCCAAGTTCAGGCATTTCTTGCATAAATGGGTAGCCATAAGGTTCGGTGAAGTCTCTTCTTTGTCCTTATAGGGGTTGTAGCCATTCAGCTTTTGTGATGCAGACACTGTGTTCTAGAGGAGGCACTGCCAGACAGTGGCTCTCCACTTGCTTTTATAAATAAAGTCTTATTGGAGTGAAGCAATACTCATTAGCTGACTGGTGATCTCTGGCTGCCATAGTGGCAAGACTGAAAAGCTGCACACAGTCAGGAAGCTTTTCAGAGCATAGTGTTTGGATCTTTACAGAAAAGGCTTGCTAACCCTTGTTACTATTTTAGCCACATCAGGCATAAGTCTTGACAAATCAAAGGCATTATACTGAAAGTTCTGGTTCTAGGCCTCCCTAAGTGGTTACTTCTGCTAGAGGCAGAGTGACATCTTTCCAATATTAAAGCCATTCAAATATCTTGAATGTTACTGATCTCCCAAATGCCTCTAGAACTGGAGGT